CTGGAATTCCCCTTTGTTCAGCTGTGTCAGGAGGTCACACTGAGGCCCTCCTCCCCACATACCCTGCTGGGCTGCCAGAGCTGGAGCCGAGCTTCCCACCCACTGTGGGGTCCTCAGCCAGGGGCCCCCTGGCAGCCTGCTTCCTGTGGCTTTCTCTCTTGGGGGCCATTTTCTGTCTCTGAGGATAGAGCCCAGCTCTTCCAAGAGGCCTATCCTGGTTTCTTTAGCTCTAAGTGCCTGCTCCCTTTGAAGCCCCATGGCGTGAACCGTGCCATCCGTCTGTGTGGTCTTAGCACATGCCACATGGTGCCACAGACTGAGCCCATAGCTTCCTCCTTCCAGAGAACTCCCTTTTTCCCCTTTGGTGGTAGCCAAGCTCCAGGTGTCTTGTCATGCCAGGCACTGGAGAGGCTGCGGATGTCAGGGCGCAGGACTTTAAATAAAAGGAGTGTGAGGCCGCAAGAAGGGCAGGGCCAGTGTAGTCACATGCCTATGTGGTGGCAGCACCAGGATTTGAAGCCAAGTCTGCTCCCAACGTGCAGCTCCGCCCCTTCTGCTGTGGTTGTCCTTGGAGCCTGTCTTCCCAGCCAGAGGATTGGCCCTTTGAAGACAAAAGTTCCTTCCTTCTAGTCCCCTGCCCTCGGAGCCTGCTCCCCCCCACCCCGCCCCAGGCTGGTATGCATTGCCTGTAGGTGCAGGGAGAGCTGCTGGCACTCTCAGGGAGTTTGCCCTTGTCCCTTTCTTCCCCAAGTCTTCAGAACTACTTTGTTGGAGATGGAGTTTCTGTGAAAACATCTGTCCTTTTAAGAGACAGGAGTTGGCTTTTCAGCTGCTGCTGGACTCTCTCAAAGGTGGGTAGGGAGTGTGAAGTGCCTCCGATGGCCTCAGTCCACCTGTGCCAGCCTCATGCTGGACAGAGGTCTCAAGACTGACCTCCCAAAAGGAGAGAGAGCATCCTGTGCCGAGTGCATGGACAACTCCCCCAAAGCTGTTAAAGGCCTCAAATTATTTACTTCTTTTAGAGACAGGGTCTCACTATATTGCCTCGGCTGGTCTCAAACTCCTGGGCTCAAGTGATCCTCCTGCCTCAGCCTCCCAAAGTGCTGGGATTATAGGCGTGAGCCACCATGCCCAGCCTCAGGCCTCAAATTCAACAGTCAGAATATACAGAGTAAAGTGCCTTGACAGGTATATGTCACTGAAGACAGTGACAAATAACCTTGATGTTGAGGGTCAGGGAATAGAAAAGGATAAGTAGGAGTTTACAGGAAGGTGTTAGAAGAAGGACATCCTGGGCCCAGGCAGCAGCATGTGCAAATGCCCTGGGAGCCACATGGAAGGGCTGAGTAGGTTAGTGGGGCCGAGAGAGTCTGGAAGGTGGAGAGTCAGGGGATGGGGACGGGCCACCATGGGAGAGGTGTTCAGATTTGGTGGCCACCTTTCTTTTATCTAGAATATCTTCTCTGATATGAATCTATACTCAGGGCTTAGCTTTTCTAATAATCGTTATTGTTGGAGCCTTCAAAATCAAGCAGTCTGTCTTCATGCACATTTTTAAAATAAAAAGTAATTTTTCTTATTACAAAAGCATTACATGTGCATTGTAGGGGGAAAATGGGTAGGAGAATTGGGTATAGAAATTAGACAAAATAATTCACAAAAGACTCATAACCCCTCAACCTAGGAGAGGACAACTCTTAGCATCTTAGTGTGTAGCCTCTAGACTTTTTTTCCTTTTGAGCAAAATGGGATCACATCATCCATACTATTTTCTAACTGGCTTTTTCCACCTAGCATACTAAAAATATCCTTCCATGGCAGGAGACAGTGACCAGCCATCACCTGTTTAATAAGCGAATGATGTTGTATTATGGGGCTGTACCTTAATCTGTGTGGCCTCTCCCCTAATTTTGGACATTTTTTTTTTTTTTTTTTTTTTTTTTTGTCTCACTTTGTTGTCCGAGCTAAGCTATTCTTTATATCCTAACCTTCAGATAGCTCACAGCAACCTCAAACTCCTGGGCTCAAGCGATCCTCCTGCCTCAGCCTCCCAAGTAGCTGGGACTACAGGCACGCACCACCATGCCCGGCTAATTTTTTTGTATATATACTTTAGTTGGTCAATTAATTTCTTTCTATTTTTAGTAGAGACGGGGTCTCGCTCAGGCTGGTTTCGAACTCCCGACCTCGAGCAATCCGCCCGCCTCAGCCTCCCAGAGTGCTAGGATTACAGGGGTGAGCCACCACGCCCGGCCTAATTTTGGACATTTGAGTTGCCCCCCCCCCACAGCTTTTTAAACTACAAAATATATTTTTAATTATAAAAATAATGTGAAACTTACAAATTTGGAAAACAAAGGAAATTATCTCACTCATTATCCTAACCCTTAAATGTTCTCCCAGAAGATGCTTGTGTATGTCCCTCTGGGCCCTTTTTCTATGAATGCTACGGGGCATTCAGTGTAGTAAGGACACATTTCCATGTGTTCCTGCTGTCAGTCGTATCCTAGAAGGGTTTGGGTATGAGGTAAGGTGCGTTGATTACCCAATGGCACAATGGTCACTTCCTTGGGGCCTGCTTTACATTGTCACTTTGAGTTTCCACCAGAGTTTCTCCTGGGGTACATCTAGACACAATGACCTGGCAACAGTTGAGAAATCGAGAAAGAAGAGTTCCATATAAGCAAATTTGCCAAAAACTCTAGTCCTTTTTAGATGTCAACCAAATGCATTTAGTTTGTTTTTGGTTTTTAACTGAGAGAAAATTCACATTACTTAAAATGTACCATTTTAAAGTGTGCAATTCGGTGGCTTTTGGTGCATTGGCAATGTTGTACAGCCATCGCCACTGTCTAATGCAGAACATTTTCATCACCCCAGAAGGAAACCCTGGTCCCATTGGCAGTCACTCCCCACTGCCCCTTCCCCATCCCCTGGCAACCACTAATCTACCTCTGTCTCTGTGGATTTGCGTGTTCAGGACATTTCACATAAATGGGAATTACATTCAGTTTTGTACCTGCTTCTTCTCTCATAGTATTTTATCAGAAACATTCATCTAGGTTGCTGATAGTTTTCTTAATCATCACTTTAAGTTTGACTTCTGTTTGGTAGGTAATATATGCTCATGACCCCCGTCCTGTGTCTTGGCTGGGGTCTGGCAGGTGAGGTGGTCAGACGAGCTTCCCGGCATAGCTCCCTTCCCAGTTAATAGTGAGAGCTGCTGGGTAAGCGGAGCCTGCCGTGGGCCACACACTGTGTCACCCACACACTGTGTCACCCACACACTGGGTCTTTTTTCTTCATCTGATCCTTGCAGAATCATCTGAACTAGGATTTGTTACTTCCATTTGCTAATTGAGGAACAATGAAATCCCAGTTCAAGTTCACTCAGCTGCGAATTGGCAGGTTGGAAAGGTCACTTGGGTCTGCCCGACTCCAGAACTTGTCTCCTGACTCTGTCGCCTCCTCTGCCTGCCTGAGAGCCTTGGCAGTGGGAGAAGAGGGTGTATGTATGTGTGAAGTTTATGTATAAACTTCTTATTGAAATATCACATCTATAGCTAGGCACATCTCTACACCAGAAGCATCAGTCTTTCTAGTTTTCATCATTCTGATGGGTATATGATATATCTCATGGTGGTTTTAATTTCCATTTCTCTGGTAACTAAGAACGTTGAGCATGTTTTTCTAGGTTCTTTGGCCATTTAGATACTCTCTTTAAGAAAGTGCCTGTTAAAGTTTTTGACGTGTTTCTGTTGGATTGTTTGTGTTTTCTGATTCATTCGCAGGACTTTCATATAGTCTCAGTCCAAGTCTTTGCCAGATGCGTGTACGTTGCAGCTGTCTCCTCCCATGCCATGGCTTGCCTTTCATCGCCTTAATGGTGCTGTTTTAAATGGAAGCAACTGTATTTTAGTGTTCAGACTGGTCACTCGATTCAAAATGGCCTCATTTCAAACATCCTAAAGATTTGCTACTCAAAGAAAGGGACATGTTTCCCACCTTGCTGTCTCACACAAGGGTTTTTAACCACGTTCAGCTTGAGAGTCCTTGGCAAAGTGCACTGGGCTTGTCCTGACAGCCCTGCAGGCCCAGGGCAAGGACAAGGGGGAAGAAAAAGGACAGAAAATGGGGTGGGGCAGGGGGTGAGAGGCCAGAAGCTGGGATGTGGAGAGTAGACAGAGGATCGGGTCAGCCCAGACCCATCCTGAGACTGTGATGTGCCAGGCTGCTCTCTAGAGGGGGCAGGATCCAGTTCAGGGCTCTAGAAAGTGCCAGGAACAGAGAGGAGGGTACAATGAAATGTGGCTCCAGTGCAGAGGAAGGGAAGGGGATCTTAGGTATCGCAGGAGAGCTGGAACTGGAGCAGGGCCTTGAGGGTAAAGCCAGGGACAGCCTGGCTCTTAAGGGCCAGCTGGGTGAGGAGGGTGGAGTGGGAATGCCCTGGGGGTCCCAGAATGCTGAGGGCCACCTTGAAGGGATGCCTAAAATCAGTGCATCGAACATGGTTTGCGGAGTGGAGCAGCAGGCTAGTCTGGGGACTCCTACCCTATCCTGTGGGTCACGAGAGCCATTGAAGTTTCTAGAGTGGAGCAGGGCCATGGTGTATCTGTGTGAGGCAGGGATTGGAGGAGAAGGTTGAAGGGGGAGAGAGGGGAGGCTGTGGGAACCTTGGCTGTAGAGGGCAAGGAAGAAGGAAGTGAAAACCTTGGCTCTTCCCTTGGTTTGAGGGAAGCAGGTTCGCAGCTATTTGGGAGCAGGAGGTCTTGCTTTGCAAGATGTTGGTGTCAAAAGGGGCTTTGGATCTATACCAGGGGAAATGGGGAGGCCCAGCCTGTCCGGGAGCCCTGGTCCTGCCTCTTCCAGCCCCGATACTGGACTACAGGCCAGCTGCTGGCCAGTCACTGGGGAAGGGAACAGGGCACAGTTGCAGTGTTCCCTGGACATGCTGCCACAGCACATGTATCCCACACCCACCGGACACTTCTGTTTTTCAGGACCGTTGCTGTCAAAGAGAGCAGCTTTGTGGAAAAGATGAAGAAAACGGTGAGTGTTCTCCATGTTTTTGTTCTTCTCAGTGAGCCTCAGCCTGGTGGGCCCAGGGGACGGGTCCAGCAGACGGCCAGCTTCACTGGACAGAGGAGGCCCCTGGCGAGGGACGGTGGGCAGGCACCGAGCAAGGGCCAGGCCCGGGAACTCAGGCCCTGCTCACTTGTGGGTGCCTCCTTGCCTAACCAAAGCCCTAAGCTGCTCTGCTGGTGCTAGGACAGTTTACTTTGTTTTTTTTGAATGTCTTCTTGAGCAAGCCAAAGTCTAAGAATATAGACCTTCCATCTAACTCCTGAAGCTGTCCCTTCTCCCCTCCTTTCCATTCCAGGCTCTGTCCAGGAACAGATAAAAATCTCACATAGCTGTGGTCTTGGCATGGCTACAGTTTCATCTGTTTTATTTTTGGTTTATTTAAGTATTTAATTTTAGGAATAGGTACTACGTTCACATGGTTAAAATCCTAAACATCAACAGTTTAGTGGAAAGACCCACCATTACCGCTGTTCTTGGTATTTATGGATCCTTCTAAAGCTCCTGTATGCACATACAAATAAAAACAGAGATTCTTATTACACTCTTTTTTAAACACAAAAAGTGGCATTTTACATGCACCATTACAGACCTTGCTTTTTAACTTAAGAATATGACTTGGAGATCCTTTCATAGCAGTATATAGACACTTCCCTCATTGTTACAGCTGCATGACGACTCCATTATAGGGCCATATATGGATGCACTATAACCTAACACTGTCCTGTGAATGAGCCTTGGGATATTTCTAATCTTTAGCTCTTACAAACAATGCCACTGTGAATATGTAGATCAGCTTGCACGTTTGCGACTACTGTACGATCCCAGAAGTGGAATTGTTGGATCAAAAGGTATGTGCATTTGTAATTATGGTAGAAGCTACCAAATTTGCTCCCTCCGGGAGGCACGTACACCATGGGGCCTACTCAAGAATGTGATCTGTGAGAAAACCTCTTCCCCAGCAGAGTTATCAAAGTTTAGATTTTTGCCAATTTTCTAGGGGAAGAAAGACCTCAGTGTAATTCTAATGTGCATTTTTCTTATGACTATGTTACAGTGGAAAGCCTAGTAGGTGCTCACAGTACAGGTGGAGAAAAGTTTCTCACGAAGAAAGAAATTTAGGATTCGGATATATAAACGTAAAAAGTTTATTTTATCCTTTCAGGATGAGAGAGGGAGAGCAGGGAGACAGCATGGCATCCCAAAGAGAGAAGATGGTGCCAGTCCTGAGGCCAAGTGGCTTGCTGATTTTAAGGGGGATGAAGAGAAAAAGAAATAGCGATGTCTGTCAGGTGGTAAAAGCAGCAGCGGCAGGATGTCAAAGTCCAAGTTTGGTTTCCTGCCTTTCCTTGGAGATGAGATTATCACAGATGTGACTCTGCCCTCAAGATATGGTTGAGGCTTGTTCTCCTGCTGTGTACTCAGGAACTCTGTAGAAGCAGATTCTCAAGAAAACAATTTTAAGGAGAGAGATTTACATCTTTTTGCCATCTGTTCACTTCTTTTCAGAAGTTGTGCAGAACAGAACTCCTTCAGGGTGCCTATTAGTGAGAGAGCTCATAGGATTGATCTTTAACTGTTACTGGGGAAATTGTGGAATTAGATATTTTCCTGTTATTTTCTGCAAGACCACCCCTTTCAAATGAGGTGAGGTAGATTTTTATATATTTAGATGGGTTTTTTTTAATAGAATCTCTGTTCAAATCCTTTGTCCATTTTTTTGTTGGAATTGATCTTTCTCAAGGAACTCCTTAAAATTATTAGGGAGATTAACTCCTTGTCTAGGATCTAAGTTGAGAATATTTTGCCTGTTAATAGTTTGCCTTTTGACTCCGTTTATTGTGTTTTTATGTATTTGTTTTGCAAATGTATTTGTTATGTATTTGTGTAAAAGTCAAGTAGTCAACTTTATTATTCTTTCTTCTTGTGATTTCTGAACTTTGAGTCATAATGTAAAAGTCCTTCCCCACTCTAAAGAGATAAAGGATATTCTTCTTTACTTTCTTCTAGTATTTTTATGGTTTAGTTTTTCATATTCAAAATTTAAAATTTGATCTATTAGGAATTTATCCTGGTATGAGATATGAGGTATGACTCTAAACTCTACTCTTTTCATAGCTGTCAAATTACCATCAAAGAGAGTCCATCTTTTCCCCACTGGTTTGAAATGCCACCTTTATCATATCTTAATTCTGTTCAGTAACCTTCTTTACTTAATATGTTTTTTCCCATGTCATTAAAAAATGTGTCACAAGTGTTATCTTGAGCAGTTGTGTGAGATCCCCTGGGTGACTTGCTCTCCTCTACCACAGTGGCTGTGACAGTAAGAAGCCAGCCACTCAGAAAGGAGAGAGAATGCCTTTGGGGGACCCTGGGCACATCTGCTGGAGCCTCGGGTGAAACCTGTGGCTCATGGGCCCCTCCCCAACCCTGTGTGTCTGGCCTTCCCTAGGGGAAGAACATCGTAGTGTTCTACGGCTCCCAGACGGGGACTGCTGAAGAGTTTGCCAACCGCTTGTCCAAGGACGCCCATCGCTACGGAATGCGGGGCATGGCGGCAGACCCTGAGGAGTACGACTTGGTAAGCTGTCGCCAGGCGCTTGCCCCCTTCTTCCCATCACTTCCGGTGGTATTGAGGAATTCGCCTCTGGATCACAGAGAGGCTTAAAGGGCTGAGTTAGCCCAAGGGACAGACAGGAACAGGTGTCTCCCACTGTTTGTTCTAGCAGCCAGGCAGTGCCAGTTTCCAAGACATTAAGAGCCCAGGCCAGCACATGCACACATGTGTCTAAACCCAGCACTGCCCGGGCCCAACCTCCACTTTGTGGGGCTTCCCAAGTGCTGGGCAGGTGCGAGCAGAAGGGACCTGGGCACTTAGTGGGTTGGGTGTTTCAGAAGGTCAGGAGGGAACTCTGTCCCATTTCTCCCCACCCCAAAATGCACTGGCCAGAGACCAGATGAAGAGTCAGGTGGCCTGGGTGCTGATCCCACCCCACCTGGCAGCCCCTGCAGCTTCCTTTCTGATCTACAGAGGAGGCATGAGGGCGTGGGATGGGTCACTCTGAGAATCCTTCAGCTGGCCTTGTAATGAGGCAGTTAGTAACTTGTGTGTTGGGGACACAGGGTGAGGGGACAGTGTGACATGGGAAGGGGCTATAATTTGGAGCTGCAGGAGTCCTCCTGTCAGTGGGGCTTAACACGGTGCTCCCCTTTGGGCCACTAAGAGACTAAGTCCTAACTTCCTGGCCTCAGCTGCCCCAGCCTTCTCCTTGAGGGCTATGGGAGGCAGGTTTGCTCCTCCTGGCACTAGCTCTTCCTGGATTTGGCTCTTCCACCACCCACTTGCTCAGTTGTTGCCCTCAAAGTGCAAGAAACTTCAAGCAGTTGCTTGCTGTTTCTACGTTGGGAGAACCAGTGATGCCCAGGCCGCCAGCCCCAGTGGAGGCGAGAAAGTGGAGCCAAGCAGTAGGCTCCCCTTGGGAGAGGGAAGATGGCAGGGAGCAGGGGTCCTGGGCACATGTCCCTAGGAGTTGCCTTCCTACTGCTCCCCATGGGGGTCATTGCCAGTCACTAGCTGGGCTGGCTGAGAAAGAGCTATTCCTGTGGCTCCAACACCACACTGAATGCCCTTTCCCGCAGAACCGGCTGCTTCCCCCACAGGGTGCTCCATCCTCGTTTCAAGTTGATGAACAGCTTAGTCAGAAATGAGTGAGCACCCAGGCCATGCTGTGTGCCAGGGAGTTTGGGATGGTGCACAGGAAACCATGTTCTGACCACAGTCACACTCCCAGCCCTCCCCGCCCCATGCTCTCTGTGCCTGCTACCCCACTTCCTCCAGGAACACGCACTCTCCACTCCAACCTAGCACACACCGCGTTGTCCTGTCCCCACCTCACATGCCAGCCCCTCTGCTTTACCCGTCCTGACCCTCCATGTACTTCCAGGCAGGCAGATTTGTTCCTTCTCTGACCCCACAACACCCGGACATCCCCAGCTGGGCGCTGCCCGGGGCAGGGCCTGGCCTCCCCCCTCTCGTGCAGACCCGCCCTAGGGCAGGCTCAGTCTCAGCCGGCTCTGCCCGTCTCTCCAGGCCGACCTGAGCAGCCTGCCAGAGATTAACAACGCCCTGGTCGTGTTCTGCATGGCCACCTACGGCGAGGGGGACCCCACTGACAATGCCCAGGACTTCTATGACTGGCTCCAGGAGACGGATATGGATCTCTCTGGGGTCAAGTACGCGGTGAGTTACCCAGAGGCTCCTGTGGGTTCACGTGGCCTCAGCCCCTCAGGTCCAAAAGGCAGGCCTCCTGCCCTTCACCCCATTCCCTCCAGCCAGGGCAGGCCGCGGGCCTGACGGGGAGCTCGTGGGGGAGTCCCAGGGGACTGCCGGACCCTTTCTTCTGCCCTGGGCCCCAGCACAAAGGGAACTTCTCCTTCCATGTCCCCAGTTGTTGCTGGAGGCTACAGGAAAGATATGTGGCGGGATAACCAAGATTTGGCCAGGCAGGAGGGCTGGAGCTGTGGCCCTCCCCGCTGCCACGTGGCGTCCAGGCTTAGAGGCTGGTCATGGAGGGGCAGCCTATGGGCTGCAGGTCCCTAAGCAAAGCCTCTTCAGGGGCCAAAGGTGGCAAACAAGTACAGAAGTTCGCAGGTGCTGCCTAGCAGCTCGGCCAGCCTAAACTTCAGGCCAGGCCTCAGAGCGCCCCTGTCGGCACAGGTGTTCGGTCTCGGGAACAAGACCTACGAGCACTTCAATGCGATGGGCAAGTACGTGGACAAGCGGCTGGAGCAGCTCGGCGCCCAGCGCATCTTCGAGCTCGGGATGGGCGACGATGATGGGAAGTGAGTGCCCGGCCCGAAGCCCGGGCCACCCCACCCCACCCCCGTCATGTATTAGGTGCCACATGTTTAGGGATTTGACTGTAGGACATGGGGGTGGGGGGAGTGCAAACCATTGTCACCTGAAACTCAGTGATACGTCACCGACAAGGGAAAGGACTCGCCCCCCCCCCCTTCACCCAGCCCTGCTGGGTCACCAGGTCCTCTCCTGGCTTGCCCGGCTCAGAGAGGAACCTCTTGTCTGAAGTAGATGCTCCTCCAGACCCTTCCTGATGCTGTGGGTTCACAGCGCTGGGTGCCCCGGGATGGGAGCCAGGGTTGGGGGCGAGCCAAGAGAGGGATGCCCCCACCTGGTGAGGCCGGCGCGGCTCACCCTCTCCACTCCCCAGCTTGGAAGAGGATTTCATCACCTGGCGGGAGCAGTTCTGGCCGGCCGTGTGCGAGCACTTTGGGGTAGAAGCCACCGGGGAGGAGTCCAGGTGAGCTGTGCCACAGGGTGAGGGGCCTCGGCCGAGTCCGGTGCCCGAGGGCAGCCATCCCAGAATGGGGTGTGGCTGGGGGTGGCAGTGGGGGCTATGAGGAAAAGTCGGTGGCAGCTCAGTCAGGAAGGGTCCTTGGTCCCAGCTGAGGAGCTTGGGCTTTCCTTGCCTTCTCACGGAATCACCTAGAAGCTGCTGCCCGGCCCTGCTCCGGCTGTTGGGGATCTGACTGGACAGCTCCGCGATGCTCCTCTCCCGGTGCTCTGTCCCCTCCTCCCTGCCAGGACCCACCCGGTGCCTGGCCTCACCCATGGTCTCCCCTCTCCAGCATTCGCCAGTACGAGCTCGTGGTCCACACAGACATAGACACGGCCAAGGTGTACACGGGTGAGATGGGCCGGCTGAAGAGCTACGAGAACCAGAAGCCGTGAGTGGACGGGGAGCGGTTGCAGGCACAGGGCCCTGTGGCCCGCGGCACACCCACATCTCAGAGGCTGGGAACAGCAGCAGCTCAATGCACTGTGCATCCCCGAAGGGCTCTTCCCCCAAGTCCCCATCCCAGGAGTGAGCTCGAGTGTCCCTACACAGAAGGGTATGAGGCCCAGAGATAGGTGGCCGCTCCAAGCCAGGACCCCCAGGAACCCATGGCCAGAGGTGGCATCAGTCCAGGGCATGGCCTTTGAGACTGGCGCTCACCCAGTTTGTACTTAATTTACTTGGACACGCTGCTGCAGATACCCTGGGGCACAGGGCACATACAGTTCCTAGACAAGGACATAGCAAGTTTGGCTCTGTGTCTAGGTTCAACTTTGGCAAAAGGGCTCATTTCCTTAAAATCTACCTCAATAGATGGACTTTTTGTCCAAAAACAAAGTTCCTCTCTTGTGCCCTTTATGCCTCTGGGTGCCGCCCAGGAAAGTCCTTGTACCTCCTAGATTCATGACCAGAGGCCCAAGGCACATCCTGCCCTGCTTGCGTCAGTCCCGCTACAGCCCTGCTAGAGTGAGAACCCCATTTCCGGGACTTTGCGGAGTAAAATTCCTCTCATCTGTGTTACAGTCCAGGGCAGGTGGGGCGGGGAGCTGTGTTGCATCTCTGAGGGCCTGGCCCTCCCTGCACTCAGCCCACCAGAGTGTGGGGGGCCTCACAGGACTTTTAGGGGCCTGTAAATGGGGACACCAAGGACCTAGCTCTGCCCCTTGGATGGGTTGTTGAGAGGACTGTTGGGCTGGGTTGGGAGGGTCCTTGACCTAACTGGTGAGGTTACCTCTTGGCCCTTGGAGGCCCAGAGGGCCACTGGCCATCTGAGGTTCTCTGTGTGACCAGAAGGATCCCTTGGGGACAGGGAGATCCGGATCCAAGCCCTGGCCAGTCACTGGCTTCTCTTCTCCACCCTCCAGGCCGTTTGATGCCAAGAACCCATTCTTGGCTGCAGTCACCACCAACCGGAAGCTGAACCAGGGAACTGAGCGACACCTCATGCACCTAGAATTAGACATCTCGGATTCCAAAATCAGGTACCAGCTGCCACCACCACCTCCCCTGAACCTTCACTCGGGGCCTCGTGGTCTGGGTGCAGAGCCATCCTTCCACCCCCTCCCTGAGCTTCCTGTCTCCCTGTAGATACGAGTCTGGGGACCATGTGGCCGTTTACCCAGCCAATGACTCTGCGCTCGTCAACCAGCTGGGTGAGATCCTGGGTGTCGACCTAGATGTCATCATGTCCCTGAACAATCTCGACGGTGAGTCCTGGAGTCAAAGCCAGCCTCTCCTCCCTCCCAGGCCATGGTGGGTACGAGCCCCTTGGCAAGGCCTGTGGGTGGAGCTTCTGCTCAGGCCTGAGACCCTGGAACCCAAGGGCACTCACCCCAAGACCCATTGTTAGGTTCAGGAGCAAACTCTGAGGTGGGGCAAGGTGGCTGCAGGGCTGCCTTCTCCTTTGGGGGTCCCACCCCATCTCTGCCAGAGTCCCTTAAGGGAGGGAGGGGTACCTAAGGCCTGAAGGCAGAGCCAGCCCCAGCCACCATGTCCAGACTCGACTCGACTGCCTGCTGTGGACCTGGGGCCACTTCCTCCCTGCTCCTGGGCCTCCCTTTCTTTACCAGAGAACCACGGGAGTCGGCAACCTCAACAGCCCTTCTGGGCCCATTGGAGGGTGCGGAGTGCTGAGAGACACCAGACTCAGGGCGGCCCCAACCCCTGCCAGGGCTGCCCCCCTCAGCAGCTGCAGAATTAGCCCATGAGCAGAGCAGCAGGAAAGAGGCTGGGTCCTGTCAAACTCACAGGAGTGAAAGCACGGGGGGTGGGGGTGGAGGGCGGTACGTGGGGTGTGCTGAAGCGCCTCCCCTAGCAAGATCCACCTCTGATGAAGACTCCTGCCCGCCTGAAGCCTAAGACCCAGCCAAAAGCCCGAGGCTCTGCCCCAGGGCCAAGGAGGCACCAGGTGCCAGCTGGGTGCCTGCTTTGGGCTTTACGCCCCCCATCCCCGGGACATCCACCCAGGAAGCGGCTGCTCACCCCAAGTCCTGCCCGCCTTCTCCCTGCAGAGGAGTCCAATAAGAAGCACCCATTCCCCTGCCCCACCTCCTACCGCACGGCCCTCACCTACTACCTGGACATCACCAACCCACCCCGCACCAACGTGCTGTACGAGCTGGCCCAGTACGCCTCGGAGCCCTCCGAGCAGGAGCAGCTGCGCAAGATGGCATCCTCCTCGGGAGAGGGCAAGGTAAGCCTGCCACGGCCACCCTGCCCCGACCTCAGCTGCAGCCCACCACTCTCCCAGCTCCATGGGTCCCCACTTCAGACCTGTCCCCGTGCCACTCCCTCCCGTCACCCATCTCCCACCACACGTTGTGTGTCTCCTTCCAGGAGCTGTACCTGAGCTGGGTGGTGGAGGCCCGGAGGCACATCCTGGCCATTCTGCAGGACTACCCGTCCCTGCGGCCCCCCATTGACCACCTGTGTGAGCTGCTGCCTCGGCTCCAGGCCCGCTACTACTCCATCGCCTCCTCCTCCAAGGTGAGGGCCCCGGCCAGCTGTGGTCAGCCCCAAGCTGGAGGCAGTGCAGCAGCCCCAGCCTTGCCCTAGAGGCCTGGGCGGTTCTGAGGGCCCCAGGCTGTGGCTGCAGGAGAGCTGGAGGGTCCGACGCCAGCTGCTCTCCAGCCCTGGTCCCATAAGCCAGTCAGGAAAGCTTCTGGGAAAGGGGCCTTTGAGGACAGCCAGGCACTGAGAGAGCATGAAGATGCCCTGAACAGGGACCACTGTGGGACGGGCCTGGGAAGGGGCCTCGGCACAGCAGCCGTGCTCACCGGGCCCTCCTGCAGGTGCACCCCAACTCCGTGCACATCTGTGCCGTGGCCGTGGAGTACGAAACCAAGTCTGGCCGCATCAACAAGGGTGTGGCCACCAGCTGGCTGCGGGCCAAGGATCCTGCTGGGGAGAATGGCCGCCGCGCCCTAGTGCCCATGTTCGTGCGCAAGTCCCAGTTCCGCCTGCCTTTCAAGGCCACCACGCCTGTCATCATGGTGGGCCCCGGCACAGGGGTGGCCCCCTTCATAGGCTTCATCCAGGAGCGGGCCTGGCTGCAGGAGCAGGGTGAGTGTGCGGCCTGGGCAGGGGGCGGTGACAGGCCTGGGGCCCACGCTCACCCTGGCCCGCTGCTGCCCAGGCAAGGAGGTGGGGGAGACGCTGCTCTACTACGGCTGCCGCCGGTCGGATGAGGACTACCTGTATCGCGAGGAGCTGGCGCAGTTCCACAAGGACAACGCCCTCACCCACCTCAACGTGGCCTTTTCCCGGGAGCAGCCCCACAAGGTGAGGCAGGGGTGCCACGTGGCAGGGGACACACCTAGTGGGGAGGCCATGGTAACCAGGCCTGCCTCATGTCCACCCTCCCGCCCCACAGGTCTACGTCCAGCACCTGCTGAAAAGGGACAAGGAGCACTTGTGGAAGCTCATCCACGAGGGGGGCGCCCACATCTATGTCTGCGGGTAAGTGGGGGCCGGGTGGGGCCTGCCTGCTCGAGGTGGCCCCTGCCCAGCCCCTACTGCCATCTCCTTCCTGCCCCTAGGGACGCTCGCAACATGGCCAGGGACGTGCAGAACACATTCTACGACATCGTGGCTGAGCTTGGGGCCATGGAACACGCGCAGGCTGTGGACTACATCAAGAAGCTGATGACCAAGGGCCGCTACTCCCTGGATGTATGGAGCTAGGACTGCCCGGCCCCCCTGTCCCCAACCACCTGACAGATTTGCTGCCCCGTAGTCACTTCCCCTTCCCTCTGCCAGTCTCCTGGGGGCTTCCGCTCGGCCTTGCCATGGGAGGCAATGCCACCCAGTGACAAAGACTCCTCTGGGCCTGGGGTGCACCCTCCTGAGCCCCCAAGGCCAGGCTAGGTCCGCTGGCTCCAGGCAGCCCTGCCCCACGCTTCCAGACGCCTCAGGCCCCGGCAGCTGCGCAGAGGGCTTTTCTCAGCTGAGCTGGGCCCGGCCCCTCCATGTGATTTTCAATGAGTGTAAATAATTTTAAATAACCTCTAATCCTTGGAATAAAGTTCTGTTTTCTGTATTTGCCTGGTGTTGCATGAACAGATCCAGAGCCTCCACCTGGATCTACTTAACCCATACCCCAGGAGTCCCAACAGCCTGTGCTGGGGGGAGCACACGGAGCTTGAGCGCGCCAGGCCCTGCCTTCCTCTTGGAGAACACACGCCTCAGGGCCCCTATGTGCTTCTTCCTTTATTGAAAACCCTGGCCCCCAGCTCTTTGCAGGCTGGGACGCAGGACTAGGTCTTCCTTCAGGGCCCACAGAGCCCACAAAACCGAGGGGAGAACAAAAGAGACCCCCCCAGACATACACACAGGAGGGGTGCCTCCCACCCCCTCCCACAACACACGGATACAGAGGCCCCTTTGGGGCCGGCAGGAGAGGGCCCAGCCTCAGTCTTTCTTGCTCCCATGCCGCTGGCTGTGGAACTTCTGGTGCACCACCCGCAGGGTGGTGAAGAAGTTGCCGAGGAAGAGGAGAAGGAAGGGGAAGCCGCACATTAGTACCTGTAGGAGGAATCAGTGTGAGGACAGGGGCCGGGACAGGACCTCTACCCCCTGCCCCAAGCTGTCCTCTCCAGGGGCTCTGGCTCACCTGCCACTCCTTGCACTGAGGGTCCCGGGCCAGGTTAAACAACGTCAGCGCATTATAAAGCTGCCAGAACTGAAGGGAAGGGAGCAGTTTTACTCAGTAAATCCAGTTCCTACTCAAGCCGAAACCCAGGGCAGGACGGACAGATGGATGTGGACACACAGGTGCAACTCACATGTCCGAAGAAAAGAAAAGGCAGCAGGAAGGTGAGGCCCCGCCACATCCAGGACTGGAAGCCCTCTGGGGAGACAAGGGGCAGGGCACAGGATGACCAAGGACAGATGTGGGCACTGTCACTCAGACCCAGGGCAGGAGGAAAGGAGAGTCCATCCCAGCTGCCCCTCAAGACGCCAGAGGGGGGCCCGGCTGACTCACCCACGGTGAGGTCCATGGTGTGCCGCTCACCCAGGGCCCGCAGGCGGTACAGGCAGCCGCTCTGGTAGTAGTACTGCAGGAACTGCACGAAACCTGCAGCCAGGTGTTAGGGACAGGCTGGAGCCATGGTTCTTCCCCTGCCCCCTCCCACCACTGTGGGCGAGTCCAGAACTGAGAAGGGACCTTGAAGACACTCACTCTGGTACATGGAGAAGGACAGGAATTGGTTCCGGAACTTCTGGTACATGAGACCATCAGGCCTAAGGTAGAAAGCAAAGGGAGGTATGGGGACCTCTGGGGACTCCATCTCTCTCCAGTCCTGGCTCCCACCAGCTAAGGCCAGGGCCACTCACCACGTCAACATGACTCCTGACAGGAACGTGGACACGTAGTGATGGAAAACCCACCAGCCTTTGATCCTGTGTCAGAAAGCCACCGTCACACTCCTGTCCCCTCACAGGATCAGGGCTCAGGGACAGGGAGGAGGCAGAGGTGGGAAGAAACCAGTGCCCTGGCCCAGTTCCCACTTCCCAGAGGGTCACGGCCCCTCCAGGGCACCCATCCCAAGGAGCCCCAGGAGGGCCAGGGCCCCTGCCCACCGGGAGCCGTTGTTGATGAGGATGCTCTCGCGGATGGTCAGCGTGCAGTAGTACCAGACCAGCAGGAAGTTGAAGGCAGCATCTGTCACCCTGGGGATGGTACAGAGGGTTGGTGCCACAGAGTGGAAGAGGGTGCAGGGACTCACCCCAACAGCAAGACACCCACCTGGAGTTGAGCAGGAAGCGGCAGGTGAAGGAGATGAGGATGAGGATGATGGTGAGGTAGAGCTTGAACTTCTCATACTCGTCTTTGTAGGCGAACCTGCAGGGCACACGCTTTGAGATGGGCAGGGATGCCACCCTCGCCTCTGCCCCAGGACATGTTTTGCGGGTGCACAGGGCCCACATGGGGAGCAGCCCCTGAGCCCCAAGGCTTAGCCAGGTGGATAGTGCTTGGGATGGGGGGGTACAGACCCAGCCCACAAAAACAAATTACTTAGCCTGCTTGCTCAGGAGTGTCACGTTGACGTTCCCCAGAACCAGGCTCAGGTACAACCTGGGGGAGAAGGAGATTGGGTGAGGAGATGCCCCAAGTGACAGAAAAGCTACATGGCACAGAGCCCTGAATGTGCTGGACCAGAGGCTGCGCCACCATCCCACCTGCTGCCTGCCCCACAGCCTTGGCGCAGGGCTCTGACCTTGGGCGTATTGTAGACCTACTCCATGCAATGCCCTGTGCTCTCCCTGCCCACTCCAGAGTCCCGACCGGGGTAAACTGAGGCCCCTGCTTTCCATGTCTTGCCTGAAGCTCCCCCACCTCAAGCCTCAAGAACAGCCTGGCTCTCCCAGCCTGCGGACAGCCGTCCCGAGGGCCTGGCCGTGGACTCAATGTCCGAGGGATGATCGCCATCTACCACCTGCCCCTTGCTACCTCGTCTCCAGAACCTTCAGCCCTGAGCCACTTTAGCCACCTACACACACGGCCACACCCAGGACCTCCTCTCAACCTGGAGCAGCCTCCCTCGGAGGCTCAGAGCTCTGGTTGTGTCCTGAATGCCCGGCCTTGCAGCAACTTCTTGTCACCCAGGCCCCGCACAGTCTCCCGGGCTAGCCGAGCCCCACGACCCCTTCAGCTTCCACCAGCCAAGCTCGACTTGCCCTTCTCCATCAAAGACACTCCAAGAAATGACAGTAAAGTCACAGCCACTTACTAAGCAGCTGCATCCAACACATGTACTCTTGTTCACTCTCAAGCCATAGGGACAGAGACTCAGAGTGGTCAGGGGACTTGCCTGAAGCTACAAAGGGATTCCAGGGCAAGGTGGGGACTCCAGCCCAGACCAGCCAGGTGGCAAAGACTGCCCACCCCCACCCGCAGACCCTGCGCCCCCAGCTGCAGACACAGTCCCACTGGGCTTCCCACCACATCCTCACTTCCACACCCTCCACCCAGTCCCCTCCCACCCCCAGCCCTGCCTGCGAAGTCACTGAGAAAACAGCCTCATCACCAATGTCTCTGCTGCCCCGCCCCAGGGTCTTCCTTCCATCACTCCAGCCCCTCTTCTGGGCCCTTCCCCGCTGTGGGCCCCTCCTCTCAGCAGGTGGATAAGCTCAGGTCTCTCCCAGGTCAGAGTAGCACCTATACCCCTCAAGCCTGTGCTCATTTCCTGCTACTGGTTCCTAACTTCTCTTTCCACTCACAACCAAGCTTCTAGAAAGTGGTGCAAACTTAGCTGTCTTCCCCCTTCCTCTCTTCCATCATCCCCAATATCAACTTCTGACCCCCCCCCACATTGTACCAAATGATTCTCACCAAATGTCCCAGCTTCCAGGAAGTACCCATCCCCTTTGTCACACCCCCACCTTGTCTACTCTGAGGACTGACACGCCTTCCTCCCTCGCCTTCTGGGTCACGCTCTCTCCCAGCCCTCTTGCTGCCTGCAGCCGCCCCTGCTGCAAGTTTTGGCTCAGCCTAGGGCTTTATACAGTCCCATCCATCCTCCCCGGTGGCGGTGACCAGCGCTACCTGATCTGCTCTGCTCCCTCTCGCCTCCCACCTGAGCTCTGGCCACTGCAGTTCGGCTCCCTGCCTTCACATTCACCTGCTGCTACCCCTCTTCCTGGGGCACAGGAAGACTCAGCCAGGCAGCCCTGACTCCAGAAAGCTCTTCCCGACCTCCACATTCCTTCCTCACCGTGACCCCACTTCCCTGTACTTCCCCCACAAAGCACCTATCCCGATGAGCTGTCACTGTCAGCTGGGCTGTCTCTCCTGACATCAGGACTGTGCCTCATTTCTCAGCCCACAGCGGGTCCAGGGAACATTTGTTAATGGAATGACCAAGCAGCAGCACCCAGCTTCAGGCCTCTCTCCCAGGAGTGGCTGTGAACTGAGCTGGGCTGTGGGGTGTGGGTGGGGGCTCTCACCCGTTCTTCTTGGGCAAATAGGCCTCCATGTCAAAGAAGAGGCCTTGGCGTTCTTTCATCTGGTTCTCCAGCTCCTGTGCGGCCTCCTCGGCCTCTGCTGGGAGGGAGGGTTTGCATCTGCAGGTGGGGCCAGAGAGTCAGAGCAGGCGGGCTCCCAGGTGTCCTACCCGATACCCTTGGGGCAGAAGGGCAAAACCACAGGCCAGGGAGCACAGGGTCGCCCCATGACTCAGCACCAGCTCTCCCACCCCAGGTCAGACACCCACACCCAGCCCAAGGAAGGGAGGGGAGGGGAGGGGATGGGTGGGTGGGGCAGGGTAGGGCAGGGCGTCCTAACTTCTTCAGGACAAGGGCTAGCTCCTGGAGCCGCTTCTTCTGCCGAGTGATGGAGCTGGTGCAGTTGTTCTGCAGTTTGATCAGCTCCTCCAGCTTCAGGCGGTATAGCCGGTGGGTCTCCTGGGGGGGCGGCGGGGGGAGAAGGCTGGTTGGGGACCCACTGAGCCATAGCCTGCAGGCAAGGAGTGGGGCACCAGCTCCCCAGAGCTCCTTGGGAGGGTCTCAGCAGGAAAGGAAGCAGAACTGGCCGTGCCTGCCTGGAGACCTCTCAGGTTGCTCTTCCCCCAGGGCAAGCAAGGAGCTGGTGTCTTCATGCAAGCCCAGAAGTCCCCACAGCAAGCCCTCCCCCAGACACAGACCAGTTCCCTGAAGGTTTTCTTAGTCTCAGCTCCTCTGCTGTCTGTCCCCACCCCTAGAGGGGCTGTCTGTCCCATCCTGGGTCTAGAGTCTAGGTCCCAGTTCAGCTGGACCAATCAAGCTGCCCAAAGCCAGTCCCTGCCCTCCTGTCTATCCAGCCTGCAAGTACAGGGGCAGCTCCTGTCATCCCAGGATTCCCTTCCTTCCAGGTTAAAGGTCATCAGCTTCAGCCTTTGGGCCTTCTGCCTTATGGGCAGTCCCCCTCCCCCAGCACCTTTGGCCCAGGGCTTCCCCCCAAGCACTTTGCCCTGGTGGGTGAGTCTGGAAACAGCACAGCCTAGAAATAGGGCAAGGGGCAGTATGGGGGAAGCCAAGCAGGGGCTATGGCCAGGGCAG